AACATGTTATAATATATAATAAATGTGAAGCCTTGTTATATAAGCTGTCCACCATGTCAATATATTTCTCTTTTTGCAGTGTATTGGTCTTTTGTAGAGGTTTTTCATTGCCAGCTAAAATCTTGCCTAGCAGCACATTGGTCAGAACCAGCCCTGGTGTCATCCCCTCAGCACCCCCCATTTGAAACATGTTCCCACGGCTATGTGTGTGTATGTGTGGCGCGAGTGAGAGGGAACGCGCACACCTTACGTGTATTGTTGTTGTTAGCATCTGGTGCTAGCTAGCTGCGCTAACGGATATAAGGAGCTGTTTCAATGAAAACAGAGGAGCGACATTTCGCCGACAACTGCGCCGAGCACTTGACTTTATGCAGGAAGCCAGACAGTGGGACATTGTACGAAAAGTCAGCACGCTCAGCACGGATAGTGCGCGCAACATGATTGCAGCGTCCTGGCAGCTCCCGTTCAAGCATATATATGCCTTGAGTTGCACATAGCTCCAACGATCCATCACAGTGTCTCTACACACACACACACACAGTATTGTATGAGAGAGGTTCCAGGTTGAATTGAGGCGACTATTTGTAATGTTCAGAGGTTGTTGTGTTTAATATTCATGAGAATATTTGTCATTGTTCAAATGATAATAAACAAACATCTGCATAAAGCATATTTGTCCACTCATATGTTGATTAGAGTATTAACAACTTGAAAAATATCCCTCTAAGGTACATTTAGAACAGATAAAAAATGTGCGATTAATTTGCGATTAACTATGGACAATCATGCGATTAAATATTTTAATCGACTGACAGCCCTAATATATATATATTTTAAATATTTTTCTAGTTCTCTATCTGTGTTTTAAATGTTTTACTTTTATGTATACACCATGACATCAAGTCAAATTCCTCGTACGTGTCAACTTACCTGGTAATAAACCTGTTTCTGATTCAGATTTTAAATATCACATTCTATTTACGTGTAAATAGACTTTTGCACCATTATTTAATAGAATTTTTGTATTTTATTATATAACTATGTTGCATTGTTGGAGGAGCTCGGGTCAGAAGAATTTCATTGCCATTTTTTACACTGTAGCTTAATTTGAATCAAATACCTGACTTGAGCGGCAGATGTGATTGGCTGTCATTGTTGGTCATGTGATCTATCATGGTCTTCACCACCTCGTCAGCAGACGCCACCTGATTAAGAGGAATTATTAAGACGAATAAGTGAGAATATTAACAGAAAAAGGGTAAAAAGATTCTTATTGTAAGCTGACTAACCTTTGATCTCTTGATTCCAGGCTCACCGTGGATCCCTGAAGATAAAAACAATGCAGTCAACGTTTAGAAATAACAGAGTTTAATACCATTTATCTCTCTTATTGCAGTTTTGACGCTTTATTTCCCAATTTCCAATGTGTATGTGATGCATTAGCCAGCAGGAAAACAGGCTGCATAGGTTACTTCTCAGGTATCGTCCCAAACACTTGGGACAAAACAATTTAATTCAAAGAGAGCATTAACTGTGAGTAAAAACTAGCCTACTTTTGCAGTAATTAAAACCTCTTATAACTTAATATGAACCTTTTCACCATGGCCTTTGACCCCTAACCTATCACAGTCCCCCTACTTCCACTCCTACTGCTATTTATTACATTTAAAAACATTTATTTTATTATTTGCCCCTTTTGTTTGTTTGTTTGTTTGTTTACCATGTAAAATGGCCTTGGGTCCCTTGAAAGGCGCTATACAAATGTAATCTATTATTATTATTATTATTATTTGTAATACACCTAACAGTTTTATAATCTATTTCAAGATGTTAATTAACCTACAGTGGGAGAAAGACATTCAATTGGTACCAACATATTTACTACATTTATATAAAGTAAGTAGGGACTATATCCGCAGTAAGCACGATATTTCGTGAGGTAAAATATGGTAAGAATATTTGAAAAAATAATGGGTAAAATATCAAATAATAACAATAATAAAAATACAAAAAATCAATTGAAATGTCTCTCTTCTTCACATTTCCACCTTTTCTCCTCATCCATCTCTCCCCCTTTCCTCACCCAACCCAATCTCCATGTCTCCCGGCGGCAGGTCAAAAGAGGGGAGACAGCCGGGGACACTGCAGGGAGACAGACTCACCCCCAGAGTCCCTGTAACACACACACACACACACACTGTTATATCCAAAGAGGAAGATTAAAGAGGAAGTTTGTAAACAAAATATGACTGTCAAGATGGAAACACGGTACACACACACACACACACACACACACACACACACACACACACACACACACACACACACACACACACACACACACACACACACACACACACACAAGCACAGGAAGTAAGGTTAGATAAAAGGAGATAAAACCCATAGGAAGAATGAAGGAAGGAATGAAGGAAGGAAGGAAAGAGGGAAAGTAACATATGAAAGGAAAAGGTGAAAAGGAAGAAGAGGGAAGGAATTGAGGAGAGTTTAATAGATAGCAAGAAGGAAGGAAGGACTGAAGGAAAGAAAGGAGGAAAAAAAGTAAATATGGCGGAAAGGAAAGATGATGGACAGGAATAAGGATGGAAGCAGGAAGGAAGGAAGGAAAGGAATGAAGGAAAGGAAAAAAGGAAAAGAAGGAAGGAGAGGAAGTGTGTGTTTTTGTTACCGTCTCTCCGGTGCTGGAGCTGAGGCTGGAGGTCGTCGACATGGCAACGTAGTTTTCGTCGGGTTCGTCGGGGTCGGAGGAGGGGGGGGAGGAGCTGTGAGCCGAGGGGGGTCTGAGTGGGGGGAGAGTGGAGGGACTAAACACACACACACACACACTTATTATTAAATATTATTGTTTTACAAATATTTAAAACAATAATAAGAAAAATACTATTACAATAATTTTTGAAATATAATAATTATTGTTGTTATTTATTTATTTGTGTTATTATAATTTAGTTTTTTATTATTATTAACTAGTATTTATATACTACTATTTATACTTTTATTTGTACAACTCCTAATACTTCTAAAACTTTGTAGTTTTTCTACTTTAATCCCTAATAAATCCACATGTATTAATAACCTCATGTAGTATCGGTCAGCTCCACAGGGGGCAGCAGAGAGCAGCTCAGATATTCACTGCCTCTGTGGTACACACTAAATATTGCATTACTTTGTATTTATTGTTGACGCTGCATTAACACACACACACACACACACACACATCCCATGTATACATCACTTCAGGGGACATTACATTGACTTACATGCATTTCCTGGAGACTTATCCTAATCTTAACCATAACCAACATATGCCTAACCCTAACTATTACCCTTACCCTAAAATTAATGATTCCCCTTATGGGGACCTCCATTTTGTCCCCATAAGGGAAGCCAGTCCCCACATGTGACTATGTAAACAGATGTAGGTCCCCACAAGGATAGTAATGCCAGGACACACACATAGTAAAAATTAAAAGAGACTCACCGATCCCCTTCAAAACCTCCGTCACCTTGGAAACAATCTGGACCAATGAGCAGCCTTCTTCTGCTAAAGCACCCGCCAGCTGGGAGAAAATGGGAGTGTTTTTTTAAGGGCATGTAGCATGAGGTGCAACGTTTTCAGAAACAAATAAAGACATACTGTATGTGGTCCAGTTGCATGATGGGAAGTAAAACACTGAAGTAGAACAAGAAACTTTATTCATCCCGGGTAAGTTAGTCAAATCAAATTAAATAGAATAAAAAATGTTGTCCACCTGGATGTGTACTTTTGTAAATTGTGTATCTTTAATATGTTGCACATGCCTCTAATTTAATATTTAGCTATTTTTTGCGATAACAATGTACATTTAAGATTCAAATTAAATACAAATAACACAATAAAATTAAATAATAATACAAAAGATTGGTTATAAGAAATACACAGCAAGGAATACATTAGGTTCAATTATATTAATAAAATATAATGTTTTTATTTTTAACTTCTTATGTTTATATTAATATATTTTTATTTTTAATTGGAGCAGAAAACCCAATGTCCCCCGGAAGAAGAATGTACACATTTTAAATTGACCTTGAATTAAGATTATCTCCATGTTGAAGCTTGTTGTTGTTGTTGTTGTTGTTGTTGTTGTTGTTGTGGTTTACCTTGTGTATGAAGATGGTTCCACACAGTCCTCTCCTTCCCGCCTTACTGGGTTGGTTGAAGGCGCAGTCGTCGGCAACTATCACCATGTCGACGTCAACGCCATGGTTACGGGCCTGCTCAGCAGCCAATCCGAAGTTGAGGCGGTCGCCGGTGTAGTTCTTCACGATGAGGAGGACCCCTGAGGCACCTTAGGAGAGAGAGAGAGAAATATACTTATATATATTTTATTATTGTTGATTAATTTCATTATTTTTAAAATAAATTAATAAAATATACAATTGTGGCTGCAAATATCTTATTATAAATAAAACCATAAGATAGTGTTGTAGAAAGTCAGTAGCTGCGTTTCATTTAATTACCCAGTGATGAACCCACACACACTGTACCCAGTGACTTACACATTTATTGCCCCTATAAACAAAATTAAAAACTGTGTATTTACGTACCTGCGTTGTGCAAACACAGAATGGCCGCCAGGATGCTGGCAGGAGGAGGAGAAGCAAACACTCCCCCTGCTACAGCTGCTGAGAGCATGCCTACACCCAGAAAACCTGCTCACAGGAGAGAGACATTAAACTACATTTGACAAATATGAATCTGAGGATAATCACTTCGAGTTCCTACCCCCGTGTGCAGGCTCGTGTCCGGACCCCCCTCCCGACAGCACAGCCACTTTCCCCCTGATATTGTTCAGGTCTGAGCGCAGCAGCACCCTGTGGCCCCCCCCCATCAGAGAGAGGCCCCCGCTGGCCCTCACCAGCCCACACAGAGCCTCGTCCACACAGACATCCACAGAGTTGATCAGCTTCTGTCTGGGCTGAGAGACACAAACAAACAAAGTCAACTGTAATGTCAATCTTTCAGTTTGTGTGTACAGACAGAGAGATCGAAATACCGTTTCCCACAATCCTGAATACAAATATATATATAAACATATGTATATACCTATATATATATATATACACACACAATCAACAGACACATGTATACATTATGCACACATTAAGATGTAATTAAAAGCACAACAATCACAATATATACAAAATAACAGTCACTTCAATATCTTTGGGAAATGTACATTAGTGCAAGACTGTCCATAGCAGCGTAACAAGTGTCTGGTGCTGGATTTGAGTGT